GCTCCCCTGCCAATGCAGCGTGAAACCCGGTGCTGCGGGGCAGGAGCAGTGTGTGACACGGTGGTGACACGGGGACCATTCGGATCACGGGCACTTCTGCCCCTGAGCCGAGGGGGCCCTACCCTCCTCTAGGGGCTGGGTAGGGAAGTGTCTCGCTGCTCCGAGTTGTGGCCTTGGGAAAAGCAAATGTTGAGGTCTGTTTGTTTGAGCCGTGTGTTTGGGCTGGACTGGGAGCAGAGCCGGGCATTGGGCCGGGTGGGAGCAGGGCTCTTGTCCTTGCTGGCTGTTCTGCAGCCACTTTCTGCAGCTGGAGGTGCTGCTCCGAGTTGTGGCCTTGGGAAAAGCAAATGTTGAGGTCTGTTTGTTTGAGCCGTGTGTTTGGGCTGGACTGGGAGCAGAGCCGGGCATTGGGCCGGGTGGGAGCAGGGCTCTTGTCCTTGCTGGCTGTTCTGCAGCCACTTTCTGCAGCTGGAGGTGCTGGAGTGTCCCGGGCTCCTCCCTGCTCCATGTGCCAGGGCCAGTGGGGATTAAGACCCTGGCACATTGGGGAAGGGATTATGCAGTGGTGCCACATGCCAGCAGCCACCCTGGGACAGCCTGGAGCAGGGGCTCCCCAGCCCATCCTGCTGCCCAGGACATGTTTGGCTTTAGAAGCTGGCAGCGGGTGCTGCCCTCGGGGTTTGCTGCGCACAAGGCAACGTGTCTCTGCCACCTGCCCCAGCACAGGGAGGAGCTGCTCCCAGAGGAACTGGGTGCTCCCGGCTTCCCTTGGTTCCACATCATGGGCAACAGGGACCTCATCCCCCTTGGCTGTCCCTGTGGCCCCGGAGACCTGGACGAGGGCTTAGGATGCAGCAGAGCTGCAGGGGAGCTGCCCAGGAAAAGCAGAGAGGAGCCCTGGGAATCTACCCAGAGACAATGGGAAGGAGGATGGCTGAGAGCATCCTGCCTTCGACTGCGCCAAGCTGCCTCCTGGGCACTTTTAAATAGTGTTTGGCTTTGTTGGTTAGATGTGGTTCTTATCGGCTTTACCCGCCACAGAGAGGGGCTTTAGCTGCAGCGATACATGGTGCGAGTTAACCCTGACCTTGCCGCACAGCAACCGCCTAATCGGCCCCACTCCTCCATCTGGGCATGTCCCAGGACCATGAGTGTCTGCCAGGGCTGCAGCTCCCTTTGCATGGCAGAGCCGCTCCTGAAAGCAGCTGAAAAGAGTCCTTTGCATTTTTTTTTTCCCCCTTTCTAATATCAACCCCTGGACAGTACTGTAATCCTGGCTCCCCAGAGCCAAAATCTGGCCTTATTCATAGCCTCGGGCTATTTTTGCTTCCCAGAGCTAATCCTGAGCTGATCTGGTGGCAGTGGCCCCAGCATAGCCCCCCCCCGGCCTGTGGCTGGCATCCCCTTGGCCTCTCCTCAGCATCCCCTTGGGATCCCCTGGGCTGCCCCTGTGCATCCCCTTGGCACCCTCCACCGCGTCCCCTTCATGTCCCCTCCACGGTGCCCATCGTCTGCTGCTGGCCCCCATGTCCCCAGTCCTGCTGTCCGCACATGCCATCTCCTTGGCCTCGTCCCTGTGCAAGGCCATCTGTCCCTGCTGGTGGTTGGTGGCAAGTGATGCCAAAGCAGCTGCTCCAGGGCTGGGCAGGAATCCGGGACCAGCGAGAGCTCCATGGAGCCGCCTCGCTGCGAGGATGCCAGGGCAGCGCAGTGCGAGGACATGGGGAGCCGGACACCTGGAATTCTGCTTGGGGGGAAGCAGGATGCGATGGGAGCAGACGCAGCAGGGTGGGCACCTGCTCCCACCCTGTGTGGGGCAACGGCCGCCCGTGTCCTCGCAGCCCCTGCCCGTGGTGTCTCCTCCTCCAGACAGCAATTTCCTGCTGGCCAACGCGCAGCGCCTCCCCATCGTCTCCTGCTCCGATGGCTTCTGCGAGCTCACGGGCTTCGCGCGCACTGAGGTCATGCAGAAGAACTGCAGCTGCCGCTTCCTCTGCGGCGCCGAGACCAGCGAGCCCGTCCTGCAGCGCATCGAGAAGGTGCTGGAGGGCAAGCAGGAGTTCCAGGCCGAGGTCTGCTTCTACAAGAAGGGGGGTGAGTGGCACGCGCGGCGCCGTCCCCGTCCCATCCCACCCAGCTCGTGCTGCCCGTCCGCTCTGCCCTGCAGGAACGGCCTTCTGGTGCCTGCTGGATGTGGTGCCCATCAAGAACGAGAAGGGCGAGGTGGTGCTTTTCCTCTTCTCCTTCAAGGACATCACGGAGAGCCGGAGCAAGAGCCACCCTGGTGACAGGAGGGAGGGTGAGCGGCGGGGGGGGGG